CTGACATAACAGTTGATAAATGAAATGTAGATTCTTTTTTTTTCTTTTTTTTGGGGGGACTGGGGATCAAACTCAGGACCTTGCACTTGCAAAGCAGGAAGCAGCACCACTGAGCTAAATCCCCAGCCCTGAAATGTAGACTCTTAATTGGGGAGCTCTGCTCTATAGCCTGGACTTTTGTATTAGGGTTTGCATCAATTTTTGTCTTGTTTTGTTTTCCGATACTTTTTTTAAAGTAAACTGGTCTATAATTCTCTCTGCTGTCACATCGCTATTCGCACAGCCCATTAAGCACTTGCCAAGTTCACTGCAAGACTGGAATGCACATTACCACAAAAACAATGTTCAAGGTTAGGATTGCATTTATAGCCCATTTCATTGTAAGTTCTACTCTACCCATATTTTGACTGAAATTTTCCACGCTATAGATTTACCCTTCTCTGAGCATTATAAAATGCATCTAAATGTCTGAAAATGTCATCAACTCTCTACCTGCTTCCTGCTGCTAGATGGGAAGGGTTCGGAGGAGAAGTGTGGTCCAGTGTGGACAGAGGCTCTGTGTGGCTCCATGTCTGATGAAGGCTCTGGTTTCTGTGGCACATGCTTCCCATCCCTCCTCTTCCCATCCAAGGAAAGTGGGGTCCAGGTCAGCCTGGGTGAGGCTGACCAGGCAGAGATCCTACCAGAGAGGAAGCAGAAGTAGAAAGTCCCCAACAGGACCTAGGGTGGCTGAGAAGAAGGCAGGCAGGGACAACTGGACAGTCAGGGGCCAGTGTGAGGAAATCCTAATCATAAATCCAAACACGTCACTCCAGAAATGCCACTGATACAGAGAAAGGGGGACAGTGAGAGACTGACTTAAGCCAACCACATATGTTGAGAGACTGCTAACCATTTATAAGGCACAGACTGACAAAATTTTCTTGAGGTTTATTTCTGTTTTTTGTGATAGGGTCTCACTTGCTACATGGTTCAGGCTGGCCTTGGATTTGCAGCAATCCTCCTGCCTCAGCCTCCTAAAGTGCTGAGATTATAGGTGTGTTCCACCATGTCTGACTCTTGAAGTTTATTTTTGGAACATGATACATAACCAAAAATGCAAGACATCATTTACTACTCTGAAGGGTCACTATAAAGAAAAATGATGGTAACAAATCTAGTTCTTTTTATTTTCCAATTATATGGATTTCAAATAAATGGGAGTTTGCTCTATTAAATTTCAGGGTCCATAGGTGAATTTTCAGAAGTAGAACTTTCTGATGATGTTTATGTATCTATAAATATGAATGATGCAAATTTTAGGCCCTGAGATATCAGATGACAAGATACAGCCCAAGCTTCAGCTCTTGCTAATTAAACGAATCAATTAAGAGACTGCAGTGGCAACTGTGTAGCTGCTGTTCCACGGTACCAATAACAACCCCACGGGGAGGTCTTTCACTACATTAAAATGCTGTCCTCCACAACTCCATCTGATATTATTAGAAACAGTTATTTGTGTCTTGCTGTCATATTAGTTGCAAAGGCAAATTATGGAAATATGCAGACCAGAATGGTCCCAGTATGAGATCAGGTTGGTTTTCAGCCTCCAAGGGAACAATCGCTGAAATTCCGAAGTTCCCCAAAGTCCTGTAATGGAACTGATAAATCTATCAGCACAGCACCCATTTAGAAGCCAGGTAAGGGTCGTGTATTTACATACTTTCCCGCTAAGCTGATACAACTCAATGAGATGGATTATCATATTAAGTTTACCCTCCTGAGTTAAACTGATGGAGTTCAAAATTGTTTTCGATGGTTGTCATTAATCGCTGTTACTTCGTAAATGCTTACTTTGCAATCTAATTGTGCTGGTGTATCAAGGGTCATATTAATAGCATTCTTAATGGTAAATCTTTGTAAAACATGTTTATTCTACTGATATTATCACTCATGCTTTCAAGGCTAATAAGAAATAAAGTATATTTATTATTAATAAAAACAATTTAAAATGTACAATTTGAGATTTAAATTAGCTTTAAGAACTCTAGCATCATTTGGTTTCATTAAGATCTCTGGCTAAGCTTCAAAGACACAATTTGATAGTTCCTCAAGAGTCTCTGGGTGAATGCCAACGCCACAGCCATAGAGAGGATTTTCAACAGAATCTAAGCTCTTCCCTTTCAGACAACTGGAATTGTTTTTTTCCAGGAGGGCCATATCACTGAGATATATCTGCTTTAATGTTACTGTGCTTTAAAAATTCAATATAAACAATGATTATGATATAAAAGTTTGAAAAAATGGTAATGTCTGCATTCTTAAGGTAATAAAAAAATGTTCATCCTTAATGTTTAGTATGGTTCAAGTAGGAATTGTACTTTAGTAAAACACGGCCTCTTCCATTTCTTTGTGAGCTTACAGCCATGTGATGTACACTGTCTCACAGTTAACCAGAAACACAAACAAAACAAAAACTCAACTTAGTATTTGAATAGACACAAATATCCTAAAATACCACAACACATAGCTTAGCAATGAAGCTCATGTTATAGATTGTATGTGAACCCCTGCTCCCTAAATTTCAATGCTGATCCCCAAAAAGACAATATTTGGAGGCAGGGCCTTTAGGAAGTGATGGACTAAAGTACTGTCATGAGGGTGGTGCCCCACATGGAGTTAGTGCCTTCAGCAGAGGAGAAAGAGAAGATGGATGTGGCACACCTGTGATCCCAGCACTCTGAAAGACTGAGGCAAGAGGATGGAAAGCTCAAGCACAGTGATTTACAGAGAGCCTGTCTCAAAATAATATAAAAAGGTCTGGGTTCAGTACAAAAGCCCTGGGTTCAATCCCCAGTACCACACCCACCCCACCCCACATACACTAAAGGAGGAGGACGAGGGAGAGAGACGAGAGTAAGTGCCGCACTCCCATCCCATGTGAAGACACAGCAAGAAGGTAGCCACCTACAAGCCAGAAGGAGAGCCCTCACCAGGAAATGAGCGCTGGCTCCTCATTCTTGGACTTCAGCTCCCAGAACCATGTTGTTTCAGCCTACTAGTCCATGGTGCTTGATTATGGCAGCATAAACTGACTTACACAGGTGTACTTAGCAGTTACTACAAATGGCTCTCTGTCAAGCAGTATGTTTTTAAGGCAGTCAGATGGTTGACAACTCTAAACAAAATGAAACAAAACACCCATGATTCTACCAGTAACCGGCACAGAATAGTTCTTCTTATACACAGTGCTGGGGATCACACTCAATGGAAATCAGGTACACTCATCACCAGTGTTTCAGCTTTTCTGAGTATGAGAAGGCAACTCTAGCTATCTGGGTGATGTTAACAAGCAAGGAAATACTTTGGAGAATGAAGGTCAATGCTCAAATGAGGTATGAGTAAAGTATAGACCTAAGAGGTATACTGCTGAGTCATTTCTTAACTTTTATATATATCAAACATGCGTTCCTGTCTATATAAAGTATGCACTGGGCAGAAGAGTCATCTAAGAAGTCATGTCCACCAGAACTTCATAAATGTGACCTTATTTGGAAATAGGGACTTTGAGGCTGCAAGTAGGATGAAGTTTTACTGGATGAGGGTAAGCCCTAAATCTGTTAAGTCTTTGGATTCACATGAATGAATGGATGCACAGACAAGGAGAAGAAGGCCATGTGATAAGAGAAAAGGAAATTGGAATGACAGGGCTACAAGCCAAGGAACACCAGGGACCGCCAGCAACTACCAGAGAAGCCAGAGAAAGGCATGAACAGACCCTCCCTGAGAGCCTTTCAAAGGAACCAGTCCACCCACACTTTGATTTTAGACTTCTGGCCCCTAGAACAGTAAGAGAATAAGTTTCTGTTGTTTTAAGCCACCCAGTGGGTGGTAATTTGATGAAGCAACCTCAGGGAACTGATACAGAGTCCCATTACCTATATTTTAGGAGTGGGAGAGTAAAGAAACTAATAGACACTAAGAGTTAAAATGTGGTAGATGCTCTGAGCACACACACACACACACACATACACATACACACACCAATCTCAAATATATTCCTCTTTGGGTCATATTTGGTATAAATTTTATATCTGAATGCCCCATCCCACTAATTTGGAAGATTCTGCCTTCGTTATACAAAAGCACAACCGAACAATTTTAAGTATAGTTCCAGCAGTGTAAAAGAAAGGAGACCTTACTTGTGAACTGAAAGTCATGAGCCAAAGGCTTTAGGCTTTAGAACAGATCTACTGAATCTCAAATCTATACCTTTTATAGGAATCTGAAATCTCTTTAATGGGTATGAGGCTCAATGAACAGATGATGGTCTTTGTGTTCCCAGGATGCATATTTAGGTAAGCTCAGCCACTCGTTCCACTGGACGGTCAGGTTGGCGATGTGCAGTACCACTCTTCACAAAGGGCCAAGTGACAGCAGACATTCATCATGTGATGCTCAGCTCTAAGGGGGACACAACAGGGGTCTAGAGAGCTCTCTCAACTCTGGCTCTTCCCGAGAGATTGAATGTCCTTCCCTCTGGAGGACATCTGCACACCGGAACAAAGGGCAGGCACAATGAAAGCCTGTGATAAGACTCAGGGTCCCCATGCTCTGGGTCCCCTCTCTGAAGCACTCTGGGGGAAACTACAGGGAAATGGTGCAAAAACATGACACTCTACTGGAACCAACTGCACTTTGCTTCCGACTCTGGAGTCTCATGTTTTCCAGCAGTAACCACAAAACTGTAACTCTCTGATTTGTCATTTTGGAAGAATACGTCTCAGACATCTTACAGTTCTTAAGAATCACCATGAACTGAAAAAATTAAGATACAAAATAAGATTCAATTTCATTGGACCTAACACAGAAAGCTAGAAAGAAAATTCAAAAAAAAATTAAGCTCAGTGTTTTCAAATGCGTCCTTTATACACTATGGAACACATGGGTTTTTACTCGCTAAACATTTCTTTTCTCTGCCAAATAAGAGGATATACAAAGTAATTATTCTCTGTACTTACCACTGTACCAAGAAACTGAATGCTCATATTTCCACCTGCTTCTCGAGAAAGACACTAAAAGAAAAAAAAAAGATATAAAATGAATATATTTCCACACAAAAACCTGTGCCTTACAGTCAAAACTGCAAAAGTACATCAACTGATGAATGATACAATAGAGTAAACTCATAAATATCTGGCCGCACAAAGGAATGAAGCACCAATACGTGCTACAACAGAGTCAGTCCCAGAACAACGTGTACTGCATGGTTCCATTTATAAGGACCATCTGGTCCACAGAGACAGAAAAAACGGTGGCCTCAGGGAGGATGCTGGGAAGACATGATGACGAACTGCTAACTGGGGTGCAGTTTGTTTTGGGGTGTGTGAAAATGTTATAAAATTGACATGATTGCTGATGCTTATCTACTCTATGAACAGAATAAACACCACTGAATTGTAACTTTAAAGAGGTGAATGATATGACATATGAATTAGAACTCATCTTAAAAGATATCAGCATTTGTTTAAAATAGCAATGAGAAACAACCGAATTCTTTTGTGTCCAGAGAATGGTGGCAGGGGTTCACGTCAATGTCAGGTATCTGTCTATAAATCAAATATGTTCAAAACAAATGCAACAGTTCTACATACGCACATCTTCCTTGTCTGAACTTCAAGTAAAAGTCAAAAATGCTGCTAACAAATGGAGGACTAAATAGTACACTGCAAGTAAATTATATTTTTTTTCAGCTCATTCTCACCTGTAAAACTGCTCTATTTAATCCAACCCATTCCTCAGAAATTTTCCTTTTCCGTGCTAATCAGAGAAGCCCAGTGGCTTAAAAGACAATACAGATAAAGGCAGCAGTTCTCACTAAGCAACTTTATTTCTTTCATTCCCAGCTGCAGTCTTGGAAGGAGATCCTGGCTTTCACTCAACTGCATCCCATCAACGATTACAAATGTTTCCTAATTGTATTCCTTTTCCATTAGTAGAGGTTTACCAACCAATCTCAGTCTCCAAGATCACTCAGCAATGGAAGCCAGAGGGACTTCACAGTTCAAGCTGAGCCCTTGGTCCCTTACTCAGGGAGGTTAGTGCAGTAATGAAGAAAGCAGTTTAATACAAAATGTTCCTGCTACCTGTAAAAATTGCAAAGTGAACTGACACAAGTGTGACCTAACTATCATACACAAGGCAGTGTGGAGTAAAAGAGAAAAATCGAAATCTGTACATCATCATTTTGGTCCATTAATTTCACTTGTAAGAATTTATACTAAAAAAAAATTGACTAGGCAGAAAAACAGAGCTACAAAAAGTTACCACACCTCAGAATTACTCTCTCAGCTATAAGAGTTGTCATGTAATTTTTGTGAAGTTTCTGACACATGCATTTATGTAATACTGGTATTGAAGGCAGTAAAGCAATATATATTTTTAACGTAGTGGCTCAATAAAGGCTTCATTGTCATTCTGATCTGATTCTTGATACAGTGATTCATAAATTCTCTAAAAATTAAAATTTTAATGGGACATTGTTAGAGACTAGATTTCTTAAAATATTTCCCTGAAATATCCTTTTACATAAGACAAATTTCACTAACATTAGATTAAGTAAAAAGAAAAAAGGAATTAAACATGGCACGAATGTGCATGATAAACTAAGGCTCCTCAGCCAATCTCCAGGTCTAAGGAGCCATTAAAAGAATGCTTAAAACCAACAAACAATTTCACACTCTGTGGCAGCCATTTGTGAAGCCAGTTATATTAAACTACTTCTACAGTTGATTGTAAACTTTGGTTTATTTTTATTTGAGTTCTCATTTTACAGCAAGCATGAAAAAGGGAGAGTGGAGTCCATGAGGAGATGAACTGTCAGTCTGTCTTTAATCTGGCTTGATGAGACACCTGGTCAGTCAGGCCTGCTTTGATAGAGTTTGTTACAGACTGCCTTATGTTTTCCTCCATCAAATTATCACCCAGGGGCTTCAATACCTGTGGTATGAGA